TGGCGCCGAGGGGACAGCACTGGGGCCGCGTGCCCATAGCACTGCGGGGACGGTGCCGGAGAGGCATTTCCCTCCACTGGGGCTGGCAGTGTTTCCTGATGGCTATTCTGGTGACGCGCAGGCTAGGAAATCTAGCAGTCACCTGTGCCAGGGGCTGGACGACACCAAAATCATCCCCTGGCGTTAGCATTTACCGTGGCCCGGTGTCAGCCCTCAGGGCTCAGAGGGCAGGTGGATATGGCGCCGAAGTGAAGAGGCTGCGTGGAGCTGGAAATCCTCCCAGCCCCGTCCCTCTCGCCCCCAGCGCTGGCACACTCCCACATTGCAGATTTCCATATTTTTTTCTCTGAGCTCTTAAATGGCAGGTCCATTCCTCAGCTTACCGGGAGCTTTTCTCTGCTGTCTTATTTACTTGGAAACGCTGTTGATTTGGATGTGCATCGTAAATCTCAGCTTCCTTCTGGTGCGCATGCACCGTTTGGGCTATGCCTTTGAAGGGGGTTTTAGGGACAAGCGAAGGGCAAAATGCACTTTTGGGAGGCATGAAGTGGCCGGGATGGATGGAGCTCACCGCGGATTTAAAATGATATGAAAATGTTGGTTTCCTTGGCATAGTTTGAAATAATGATGGTTTGCTAAGTCGAAGTCTTCTTCTGAAATATTTTAAATATGAAAATTTCATTGCTTCTTTTCTTTCTTTTTTAAAAGTTTCCCTTCTTATTCTGGACTGCAATAAAATGGGTAATGCCCCATTTTTTTCCCCTTACTGTTTAATTTCTCCTTTTCCTCTTGCTACTCTCTATGTTTTCAAACATTCACCAAATCTTTAGCCATTTTGGAAGGGCGGGACGGGGGCTTTCTGAACACCACAGCAGGATGAGCTCAGCTGCTGGTCTCTGTTCGCCAGTGGGAGGGAACCATAACTGCAGATGGGGAGTCACGGGGAAAAACCCATGAGGGCTGAGAGCCTGCTCAGTTGGGAACAGTCAGATTTTAAGGGATTTTATTGCTGACTGTCCCAGGGTGTGGAGTACAGCGGCTCTTGCATCCAGCCCGAAATGCCTGGCTGAGTTGCAATATCTCCTTTAGCAGCAGCCACGTAGCTTTGATTTTAAGACTTCATGCAACGGGGAATCTGCTGTGTCCCTAGCCTGGCTGGCCTGATGGTTATTTATCCTTCCCATTAAAAATCTGCACTTTGCTGTTCGCCTGGATTTCTCTCGCTCTAGCTCCCAGCCCCAGGAAATTTTGCTGCCTTTGTTTGCTAGGATAAAGGACTGTGGCAATCAGAAATGTTCCCAACATGTAGGTATTTATAGATGCGTCTGAGTTCCCTCTTAACTTTCCCTTAGATAAACTAAACAGATTGGCTTCTTCACTCAGTGTGAGGCAGGTTGTTCCAGCCCTGAAATAATTCCTGTCATTCTTTTCTGAAGCTTTTTTTACTTTCAGCCTCCTCCTTTCCTAGCCTGTGTCGGTACGGGTCAGGAGCCGGTCCTCAGTGCCGGACACTGGCGCTTTCAGGGTCACCCATCCATGGGGACCACAGCTGCCAGCCCAGAGCAGGGGGTCACTGCCCCAAGAGGGACAAGGTGGTGGGGACCCGGTGGGCAGCACAGGGCTCTGGGAGGGCTGTGCTCTGGCAGGGCTCTCTCATCTGCAGCCTCCTTCATCCCAGAGGATGACCTCTTCACAGCCTGGCCACAGACAGAGCAGAGACCTGGAGGGGAAAAACCATCGAGATTGTAGTGTCCAGTGCTGGATTTAGCCATGCCTGTAGTCCTGCCCGAAGCTCAGCTTTCTGTGGAGACCCAGCAGCTTTCCTGGAAACTGGGACCAAGCAGTGCTGGAGAGCTGCAGGCTCAAGTGCTGCTCCCCTGCAGCAGCCACTGTGCTGGGATACAGGGGCCTTTGAGATGGCGGTGATCCTGCTCCCCGAGCTGTCATCTTCATCACTGAACACAGGCCTTGCCCTGGCAGAGCAGGAGCGTTTCCAGCAGTCCCCCGCGTCAGCGATCCGGACCATGACATGGGATCAGCTGTGCCTGGGGGCAGGCTGTGCCGATGGACTCCAGCACGGCCCTGTTTCGCATCCCTCGCTCCTGCGTGAAGGCACTGAGGACACCTCAGCTCCTGCCCAGCATCACCTCCTGTGTCGGTTGTCAACAGCCCCAGCATGCAGGACAGCATCGGGGCTGGATAACATCTGCACACCCAGGTCCTGCCCACCTCCACGGTGACTTCTTGCTCCCCAGCCTTCGGTGCGTGCTTTTTGCCATGGGCATTTCCAAAACGGGTTTCAGGGAAACACTTGAGATGGCAAATGGCACTTGGAAGAACCAGGGAAGCTTTTATAATAGGTGATATTTCATTCTAGGGTGGGAGGGCACCAGCTGCAGGGCAGAGCAGCGGCCTCCCCACCCCCCAGTGCTGTCAGCCCAGGAACAAGAGCTCTAGCGGACACCCTGCCACTGATAAAAGACAAGATGATGAACTGGCTTGTCCTGCCTGAAGTAAGTGCAATTCTCTTATCACATCCGTCAATGTAAATAAGTTTTCTGTTGTCCTGGCTTTGTCCTCTCCCCTGCCTGCAGCTCTCACCGGCGGTGATAGCAGAGCAAAAGCCACCGTAACCTGCTTTAGCCACGAAGACGCACGAGAAATAAATTGCCTCTCCGCACAAGTGCTTCCAGGAACAGGAAATTTTCTGTCTGCTGGCAAGGATGCGTGTGCACTCTGAGTAGCCCTGCAGTGTGCAAATGGCTGCTGCAAAGGAAGTGGGACTGGTAAATACAGCAGCAACATGTGCTTCCTGACAGCAAGGCTTGGTGGGCTGACACCATCCCTCCGTTGGAAAGCGGGTGTTCAGCCCTCAGCGGGGCAAAAGCAAAGGGACTCGGCCAGCTGAAACGTCCTGTTGAGGTGCTCAGAGGCACAATCCTACCTGAGCCCTGCGGTTTGTACGGTTTTATTTGCCAAATATTCCATTTCAACCTTTCCCTGGGCCCCGCAGTTGCCTTAGCAGGGCTGCTCAGGGCTTGTGTGCGTCTGCAGCGGGAAGACCCACGAGGATGATCCCGTGCCGGTGCTGTTTACCTGCGCTCACAGGCGGGCAGCATGGCTGCTGCTCTCAGTAAATGCCATTCCC